GAGTGGAGAGGAATTCTTCATAGTACACATGGATACCTTTGAGCAGTTGCTAATAGCATGAGCCTTTATATGAGTAGCAAATATCTGTAGTGTAATTGGGAGAGATGTTAAGCAAGCCTTGGGCATAAAACCTTTGTGTGCACATCTCTTCCAACTATACTGTTGGTCCAATAAAATATATCACCCACCAAAACCAGATAAAAGATATCATTCACCCACCCTTGTGTGTCTTGCATGTTTCCTGGACCATCACAACTACAACATTCCAGTTCTACTATGAGTTTGTACAGTAAGAATGGGAATGTTGTGAAGACATTGTGGGAGTGACTTCGGTACTTTTCTTACCAAATAGCAGTGCACATTTGAAATGGTGCCTTAATCACCACCCCAATGTTAAATAATTCATCTGATCAAAAATCATAGGATGGTTCAGTTTATTTCATAATACAGCTTAAGAAATGTTATAATCCTGATAACTGCATACAAAGAGCCCAATTCTGTTGTTGTTTACACTCTTGTAAACCTTACTTCATTACTTGGTGTGCAGTTGCTTTGGTGTAGCTAGGAGCAGAATTTGTCCTGTAGGACATACAGTTCAACAGTTACTTTCCTGGTGTAAAAATATCTATCCATCAGGGAACTTCATTCATCTCATGCTCATGTAACACCAAAGAAATAGCTGTGTGCGCACCAAAAAAAAAAAAAAAGGAACTAAATTCCTGCTTATACTAAGATCCCTTTACAAATCTTTGTCAATCTAGACATTTTCTTAAAGAATGTGCAAATGCTACTCCTGCTGTTGTGCAAAGGGACCTTAGTGTAAAAGATCATCACTAGACTATAGAACAGGGTCGGGCAATTATTTTGGGCAGAGGGCCGCTTACTGAGTTTTGGCAAGCCATCGAGGGCCACATGACAGGCAGCCCAGGGCAGATTAATATTAATTTTCTAAATTTTTTAGGGGCCCTGTGGGTCGGATAGAATGGCCTGGTGTGCCACATCCGGCCCCTGGGCTGCATTTTGCCCACCCCTGCTATAGAATTATAAATAAACCTGTGAAAACTCAGTTGTCCTTAGGCAGGAGCACGTGCTGGAATATGGCCAACTATCTGCAAGCAAAATCTGTCAATGAGAGCTGGTGGCAACTCACCCTGCCTTGCCTTCCCTCCCTCCCCACCCCACTTGCAAAGACACCCCAAATAAAATATCAAGGAGTATCAAGAGATGGCAGAAGCAACAGTAAAGTTGTATGAATCAACATGATTTAGTAAGGCAAAGAAAGTGTTGAAAAGCATACCCAAACAGCCCTTTAAAACAATGGCATATTATTGAATTTGAAGCATTGTATTAATTGATCGACAAGATTGCCATGTAATGGACACAAGAGCAAGGAATTGTGGCATTCTGTCTTCTGCCAGTGAATAATTATAATGTTGAACTATACATTCCCATTTGTGTGCTCTTCTCAGTAAATAATCCTTGGTGTCTCCAGGAAAGTAGAACAAGAAACTTCGGCAAAGAAA